CCTCCCCCTCCTCCGGTGATCCTTCTGGATTCGCTGAAGTTACGATTGGACATGATCCTGGTGTTGATGAAGTGAAACCAGGCTGCTCAATTTTGTGCAGATTATGGCCTTGAACTGACTCATTTGACTGCTTTTGTCATTAATCCCTTGACACTGTATGGGAAAAGCTAAGCTGTCATCTCATTGGTTCCTCATGCATACTCGTGTTTCAGTCTTCCACGGCTTTAAGACCAAAGAAGCTATTAAGCACCTTAAGAGCAAAATGGACAATCTCACCTCAAACTTGAGTGGCATTAAAGCCAGGGTATTCCCATATTTGCATAAAAACCCTCAGAAGGGATGTCATGATCGTGTTTGGGTATCTTGAAAGTTAACCTATCTTTTCTATAGTATGATTTTCAGAATTCTCCTTGCCTGTAGACCGTCTGATTCTTTACAATCAAGACCTAGCTTAGCAATGAACTTCCTCACACATCAAGACCTAGCTTAGCAATGAACTTCCTCACACTGACTTCCTAACCATGAGGCAACCTCGTTAGGGACATGCCTACATTTATCAACCTTGGTTACTTGGATTTTGCGAGCCATGCCCAGTGCTGATGACTTCGACCTTTTTCTAGTCACCTCAATTCAATTTTAGCAATAATGATATCTCAACTACAACAACTAGTAAACAAGTAGACAAAACCATCCTTGCACTTCACTTTTTCACCAACCAACATGCAACACACACAATCTAGAGGCAATAACTATGTAAATCTGGGCAACTCAATCAAACAGTGTCAAACATGAATGGAGAAGATTAGATTTGAACTGATTCATCAAGAGTAACTGTTGAATACCCTTTGTGCTTTATTTCCCTTCCTATTTCTTCAAAAAACCCTCTTTTCTTTTTGTTTGAGAAAAAAATAGTAGAAATAATATATATAAAAAAAATCCTCATTTCTTAGAGGAACTTTTGATATCTTCGTGAATTTGTGGTGTGTTGGAGCAAGTTATCCTTGGGCAAGTGTTAAGTTGAAATTTGAGTTTTGGGTGATGGGAGAGTGTTAGAATTGAGAGAAAGTGAGAACTGTGTCGATAGCAGAAGAAAATGTGGAAATAGTAGGTCATATAACTTATATAGGATCGACAGCTCTGCAGCAGTGCTTTTTACCATTGTGATATTAATAAACTAGACAAAGAAGCCGTGACTCAAAATTGTCCACCCTGGCTGCAGCATTGAAGCTTAATGCCATGGTGCTGAGATTTTGCTAAACCTCCTTAATTAGTCTGGTTTTTATTTTGGACAGAGAAGAAGAAAATAAATGGAGGTTGAAGCAGAGAGGGGAAATTATCTTCTTTTTTTGCCTACTCACCTCTCCCAAATACTTCTTCACCCTACATCTACCTCTCTCTATGCCCACCATAGTCAACATCTCACACCTCCTCATTGGGGCAACTACACACCTCTACATATGCCCGAACCATCTCATCTCGCCTCCCTGATCTTGTCCACCACGGAGACCACTCCTACCTTATCCCAAATATCTTTGTTTTAAATCATATCTCTTAGCATGCATACACATCCATCTCAACATCCTCATTTTCGCTACTTTCATCTTCTGGACGTGCGAATTCTTGACCGACTAAAACTCCTCCCCATACAACATAGTTAGTGTGACAACCACTTTATAAAACTAACCTTAAGACT